TAAATAGAGCATCAGCAGGCTTCAAAGTATCAAATTAGTCATAATGTTGATTTTAGGTTATTATGGCCGTACTTTGGAAAAAAGCGATGCGAACAAATCGCAATGTTCTAATCTTAAATCTCGCGCTATCGAATTTGGTGAGTTTTTTTAAAAAAGGCCCTAACTATATTACATTTTGTTTTCCACTTGCACTCCAGCATTCAAAGAAAAACTCTATAGTTACTACCTGTGATAGTTCCTTCTTATAAACTAAAAGTGAAGTTCCCAATTTTTTTCTGCTTCGATAATTATGTATTCTATGACAAAAGAAAACATACTGTGTTTTCACATGATATTAATTGGAAGAAAACACTTGCATGCAGCCTTTTCTACCCATTAACTCGTGGCATATAGACTATTTACCTTTCTTCACTCAGACACTGTCAATGTCCTCCTCATGAAATACAATGAAAATAACACAAACGAATTTGCAGTCAAGAACAGAGAACAAATTTTAGGTGCTTGCTCTAACCAATATTCCATTTCTTTGGTTACCATCGATCGATTTCGAATTCCCGTATTCACGGTTTTTCTGTAAAATCGCCAATGTACTTCCTGGAAGTAATATCTATTGCTCGACACTTACCATCTCGGTTATGGCGATTGATCGGTTAGTTTTTTTTTCTATGAATCCTTCGTGCTTTTGTAAAGTCCCGTTACGATGAGTGCGAAATTGCTATCATACTGCTTTAAGCGAGGACAAAACGAAACACCTTTCTTTTTTTTGTGTAATGAAAACACAACTTCCCGAAAAAATAAAATTAAGCAACGTGAGGTGCTCAATTTAAGAATCGTTTCGTAGAGTTTGAACATCCACACCATACCGTAAATCATATAAGGCGCGCATAGTTTTACACATCTTTCTAATTGAATTTGAGCGAAGGGTGAAAGATTATCAGTCGGAGAGACCTGACTTTCGCATTATGAGTTACACCTGCTTGAGTTACTGAAAGAGCATAATGGTTAAGCGATTAAAAATGACAACGATAGCTCCTTATCAGCACATGCATAAAAATCACTGGGAAAAGAAAGAAAAATTTATAAGTCGGACAAACTACATAGGTTGCTTTTCCTGATTCTTCCTTTCGTAAAGATTTATTAAAGCGACTTTCATAGGTATCACTTATTCTTAGGGAATAAGCTAAGTTAAAGATGGCCATACCTACAATCATCATTTGTCATTTTGCTTTGAGTGGCAACCATTTTTGTTTCTTTTTTTTGTAAAGCCAAATGTCTATATTCCTAGAAAATATGGTAATTGCAGTACTTACGGCGTTAACACGCCCACGCTTGAAGAGTCGACTAAAGGGCAAAAGGCTGATTTCTCACGTTCATGCATAATCCTCCCTCACATCTTAGCTAGGTAATTCAAAATCCCATCAAAGTAATGCTATGGGAGGTTGGATAGGAGAGTATATGTCATAAACTCTCACAAATTCGTACATTGACGTTAAGTCCACAAATGAACATAAAAATCTGAAAGAATCATAACAACATAAGAGGTAGGGGGGTCTTCTGTTAAAAGGCTGACAATGACTTTTTTATAAGTGGCAAGCGTTTATTGAAGGAGACCAGATGTTGGTGGTACTGTAGCCTCAATTACCAACAAATAATATATTTTTTCTTCATCTGGTTGCGTTTGTATATATTTCGTTCATTCTATGGGCAGGGATCCAGATTGCATAGGCTTTTTCTTTCCAGGTACTATTCCGTAAAGCAGCTAAAAATAGCATCAAATCGACGTCAATGCATGAAAGCGATATGCATCTCTTTAACAATATGGGTTGTCTCATTTCTTCTCTCGTTACCCCTTCTTCTCTACTACGATACTACTATGCTATATGTTGTAAAGGTAATTTTATTCGTTGAAGGGAAAGGTTTATTTGCTAAGTGCATATTTAGGATGTGAATGTATTGGATGAAAAAGGTGGGATAAAACTTCGTAGCTACGGTTGGCGACAATGCCGTTTAGCCCCATCGAGATCAACGACGTTAGAAATGTCTACGCAAGAGATACAGGTACGTAAATGGGACATGCTCATGCTGCTATCTTTCAGCCGATTTCCTAAATATGAATAATTTAGTTGCTGATGTCAGTGCTTCAAGTTGTTTCGCTCTACATCGTACCACTGTTTGTACTGTCAATATTCAACGTTAAATTAACTCGCTTTCTCAAAACTAATGCCAATCAAATGGCTAAAAATCGCTCAGAGAGTAGAAGAAGGCGAGCGGAAACCGATATGGGAAGGAGAAACGGAGAGGTAATAAAAATGATCCTTGAGTTTTTAATCAATATAGAAAGCTAATGCTGATTTATTTGCTTTGTTTTTTAGATTGGCAAGCAACGCTCTCAGTCAATTCCGTCCTTGCGTAGTTCCATAGCCGAACGGGCAAGCGAGCGAAGAACCAGCCGAACTACAGCTTTGCTGATTGCAATGGCTTTTAGTTACGCTGCTCTCTGGCTTCCATTCACGCTTATTTCGCTTCTGCTGGATCTTGATATCTTATATGTTGTGAGTATCCATCTCTTTTATTCCTCATGCCAAACCAGTCACTTGTTTACTTCTCCATCAGACACATGTTCTTGCCATACATGCAAATTCAAAAAGTTGTCTGAAATGTTCCATAAAATGTATGTCTGGGGGCTCATTTCTTAGAAAGCCAATTTTTCATGTCTGAATACATCTTACATGAAACCACACCCATCACATTTGCTTTCCAGGAATCCCACGTTGCAGTAATTGAACGAATCGATCAAACATGCAAAATGGTCTCAATGCTTTCGATATGTGTCAATCCTTTCCTCTATGGCTTCCTTAATACTAATTTCCGCCACGAATTCTCCGAAATCTATTTCCGTTACGTGCTGTGCAGAGCGAAGACGACCGGTCAAGGGCGATTCCAACATGATTTCTCATCGTTGGCTGTTACTACGAGGTTAGAAGTGAAATTTTTAATTCCTGATTACTGCTTCGTCTAGACAGTGTAGCCGCTGAACGAAATTCCGATTTTTTTTCTTATATCCTTATGAGGCTATTTCGTTCTTCAGGAACAATTCCATGTATGTCGGTGTAAGCGAGGCAGATAACGGTATATGCTCGATCTTACGTCGTTCTCTCGCTGGTTCCGTAGATCGGATTCGTTCTCCACTGCGCCATGAGCCAACAGTGAGGTAAATAACCTTATCGCCTCGTTAAACCGACAGTTTTGGCTTCATTGGAATTATTAAAGGATGGGAATAGCTAGTATATTTTAAGGATACTTTTCTATTCCTAATAGCATTTCTGTAAAAAGTGCATACGCTATAGACGAAAATTAAGCATATCGCATTGATTCCTGACCCTACCCTCTTTCTTCCAGCAGTACCGTCAGCAACAAACAACAAATTTCAACAGCAGCAACAGAACATCTACTACCGGAAACAGATCACATCGGATGCGAACGTATTGTCCTAGATGCAGATTCGGAGAAAGACAGCTTTGTATGACATATCAATCGCCTTTAAGTGTTGTAATTCTGTCATGTATGTAGACGGGTATTTTCTGAGTAGTAGTAAAAGGTTTTGTGCAAAGTGTGGTTTTTGTTAAAGATAAAATGTGATAAGAGAACACTTCACATGTTGTTTCATGTTATCTTCTTCTTGATATCTCTGATAATATTTCTTAAACTTTGAGATTGTTCTTGTTTATCTGTAATTGTTCTATGGAGAAAATCTTTTTAGACACACTCCTGTCAGCAAACACACAAGGAAACACCAATAGCTGGACTTAGCATAATGTACTGTGAGTATATCACTTTTTTGTGCATGCTTCTAACAATAAATCGCAAGTATTTTTCGCGAGAAATCGAATGGGGTAACCATCTTCAAATTGTAGCTCTTGTCAGAAGCCATCTATATAAAGAACTTAGTACAAGAAGTTTCAAGAGTATCTAAATCTAGATTTCGTTTTTTTGAAGCATGTGTTTGGTAGCGGTCACAACAATGACATACATATATTTCTTTTTTTTTCGTTATGCCAAAACACTCAAAGTCAGAACCATGAAGACATTGTCAAACAGCAAATTCGTTTTGCAAAGGTTTATGCGACAGATAACATCAAAATTCAGCCGAAAAAAGGAAAAAAGTCATAGATAATGTCTAAAAATGCCCCACGACTTCTTTGAAGACCTAATTTGCTCAAATTTCTGCCCAAATTTAACTTAAAATGCTTTCATCCCGAAAACGGTAAACGCCCTTATTCACTCAACATCTATAGCTTCTTTATGGACGTTTAGTCTTTCACCTCATTTGACGTTATTTGCTAATATGCCAACAAACATCAAAACAGTATGTTTTTTGAGCTACAGTACTCGTACACGGAGTAGACCTGCAAGATTCTGTAAACTGATCATAATTACTTTTTTAATGTCTATTAGAATGAGGTTGTGCAATATCAAAATAACATGGACGAATCGAATTGATGATATTCAGTTCTTTACAAAGGAAAGATACTTGTTCAAGATGGTTGGAAAACTATCTATACTGACAATTGCAGCTCGAAACGCTGATTCCAAATTTCCCTCCTAACTCTCAACAGTTTATTGAAAAAAGTTGTGAACCTTCCTTCTCTATGAAAAAATGACATTCATGGCATATAAAAAATACGCATAGGTCCAGTAACATGATTGAGCAACACAAAAGCAGAATAATTTCTTGTGTCAAAAATTATTTTATAAGAAATTACGCGCATACATATATTTGGCAAAAAACAACTTTCACTATTCATTCGTTTCACTAGGAAAACGAGTGGCAGGTTCGAAATCACTGTTTCGAGGTGCATAAAAATGTGTACCACTATTTATTCTGCCATTTCGACTATATATCCTTTTTTAGAAAACTTTTGTATTATTGCGGCGTCCTTGAGGAAAAAAATCATCTTTTTTGTTTGCAAGCTGCCTACTTTTTTTCACGTAAGCTTTGAATTTTGAGCGAATATCAAGAATTCAAAGAATCTTTAGTTTCTTCGCTTAAGCGTGTCACCAGCTATGAAACGAAGCTTGCTTCTTTCCCTCCAAACTTTGAACTTTCATTTATTCTAGCATTCAACT